GTGGCCACAGGCTGGCAGCACCCCGGTGTCTGTCCTGGCCCTGACCACAGAGAGTTGGCGGCGAGGCTGGGCCAGGGAGGAGGGGAAAGAAAAGGGCTGGACGGTGGCAGGGTGGCAGAGTTTTTCCTTCTTATCCGTTCCCGGTGGCTGTCTCCTCCCCACGCCGCCGATGCCCGGGGCTGCTGGTGCTGCCTGCGATGGGCTGGATCCAGCCGCACTGGACACGTCCCCCGGCATCGCCCAGGCGAGTGCAGCTCCCCAGCACCTGGCCTGGTTCTGGCGGCACGCAGGCACTGGACTGCAGCTCTTGCCCCTCTGGCCCTGCTGCTTCCCCATCGCTGGGAATGTCACCGGTTGATGCCGGTGTCAGCGTCTCTGCACCGACTGGCTGCGAGCGGAGCGGCACCGGCCTCCGCATCACAGCACGTGGAGGGGGAGACGGTTTTTAGGGGGGGTTCAGTGACCTCCAGTGCTGCCACATCCGAAAGAGCCCTGAGCAAGGGGGGGGAAGGCTGCTCCCCTCTCGGGAGCAAATGTTATGCCAGGGGCTCAACTGTCACCACTGGTGAACTGGCTTCACCTCTGTTCTGGCTTTGCTGGGACCAGGAACCTCATTTAAACCTGGTCGAGTCCGCAGAGTGAGGCCCCAGTCAAGATAAAAGGGGGTCCTGCTCTGTCATAACCTCTCCTCCTCCACCCCTGTGGCCCCAAATCCATGGGGCTGAGTCCCAGACCTGCAGCACCCAGCACCCGCTGCCCCATGGGCCGTTCCCGCTTGGGTGGCCCCTCAGCATCTCCTTTTCCCCCGGGACTTTCCCTGGGCCACGCCAACACCTCTTGGTGTTGGAGGTTGGGCGCCGCACACGAAGGGTTAAGGAGACGGTGGCGGGGAGCGGGTGCGTGGGTCCGACGTTGCTCAGTTGCTCACCGCAGGTGTGGTGCCGCTTATGTAACCTCATACTTTTGGGTTGTGCCGGGGCACTCGGGGAGTATTTTCGCTCTTGCTCTGGTGCGATTTGGCCACGACTGTCCCAACAGCGGCAATTGGGGCCGTGCCGGGCGAGCCAGCGACCGCCTTTCGGGAGGGGCGAGTTCGCCGGGGCCGGACCTTGCGTGCCCCAAAGAGTCACCGCATTGCTCCCAGTCTCAGTTTCCCCATCTGTGAAATGGGGCTAATGAGGCTGACCTCCTTCAGGCAGCACCTGTGACCTCTGAGGATGGGCAGTGGCCTCGTGCCGCGCACCCTGCCGGCACGGGGGCTGCCCCCAACTGGGGTCAGTCGAGATGTATGCTGGGGTGGGATTTCAGGGACCGTCCGGGACGCGCTTGCAGAAGCCTCGCTGGAAGCGGAGCCTGTAAAGACCGAGGCGAGACGTCACCCCGCGTCCTGTCTGCGTGCCCATCCATGCGGAGCACAGCGGGGAGGAGGGAGGAAAGCCGGGAGGAAGGAGCAAATCTGACCGGCAAGAGCAGCGAACCCGTTCCCAACCG